TGGGTGTGAGTCTGCTTTCTACATGGAAGTGTGGTGGTAGCATTGTGTGTGGCCCTCGTGGGTGTGGGTCTGGTGTCATTCTTCATGTTAGGTACTCGTCTGTTCGTGAGGGCGGGTTTCCAAATGGCTGATAGGCGGGAGGTGTCATCTTGTTTATTCATGCTGTGTGGGCGTTTTTCTATCTCTATGGCTTCTCTGATTATTCTGTTGTTGAAGTGTTCGGTTTTGGCGATAGTTCTGGTATTTTTAAAGTCAATCTCATGTCCTGTGGCTTTGAGGTGTTGGACCAGGGAAGAGGTCGGTTCTTCTTTTTTGATTGAGTTCTTATGTTCTTCAATGCGTGCACTTATTCTTCTGTTAGTTTGTCCTATGTATGTGGTGGGGCAGGCGGTGCAAGGGATTTCGTATACTCCTTGGTTTTCTAACTCGATTTTGTCTTTAGGGTTTCTTAGGATGGTGGATATTTTTCTGTTTGTGCAGAATATATATATACACACCGTGTTTCTCCAACAACACGCCCCTCCCAATAGGAAGACCCAGCATGTTTTCTAGGCATAAGGTGAAATTAAGCCCCTCCCCCAAATAAGGCCCAGACTTATTTTCTGAGAAACACGGTATGTATGTATGTATGTATGTATGTATGTATGTATGGTATTCAGCTTTGTTCGGGTATTTTCCCACGTCATTGTAGTTGTGCTTTTAAAGTTGTAGCAACGTTTCAGCAGAATCGCATCTGCCATCATCAGGCTTCTGTATTGTGTTCGTCTGAGAGTCAGACTTTCACATCCGTTTCTGTTTTAAATTTGGGGCTAGCCTACTGCTGTGCCAGAATGATTTTGTCTTCATCCTGATTGGTGGGAGTCTTGGTCTGTGTTTATTGGTCTTGGAGTTTGCTGTGTTCTGCTTGTTCTGCGTGTTTCTAATATCTCCTGTCTGTTTTGTGGCTTTTTTGTCTTGATTGGTTGGCAACATTGTGTTTCCTGTATTGGAGGCTTTTAGTGCAACTTGGCTCCAAGTAAATGGATGGCTATCATTTATTAGGAAGCTAGGTTTCATCTGGGTGCCTGGTTGGGGTGTGTTTGAGCTGGAGGTATCGGGGGGGGGGGTCTGTTTGTGCCCAGGTGTTTGCTTGGCTTGTGGTGTGGAGATTTTTTTGTTTGTGAGTGCAGGCTTCCAGATAATTGACAGTCTGGTGGAGTCATCTCTTTTATTCATGCTTTCAGATCTTTTTTCAATCTCTATGGCTTCTCTGATAATTCTGTAGCTGGGGTTTTCTATCGTAGCTAGGGTTTTGGTGCCATTGAAGTCGATGCTATGACCTGTAGCTTTCATGTGTTGGACTAGTGAGGAAGTGTGTTCCAGCTTTTTTACTGCATTTTTGTGTTCATCCAGCCGGGTACTAATTCTTCTATTGATCTGTCTGATGTATGTGGCAGGGCATGATGCACAGGGGACTTCATATATGCCTTGGTTTTCCAGGTCAATTTTATCTTTGGGGTTTCTTAGGATGGCTGCTATTTTTCTGTCTGTTTTGAAGGCAGTCTTGATGTGATGCCTGTGTAGTATCTTACTGATTTTGTCTGTAGTACCTCTTATGTAGGGCAGGACAGCTGTTCCATAGGTCTGTTCATCTTCTAGGTCTCCATTATGTCTCAGTGTGTTTTTGTGGATCAGGCCTGTGATTTTGCTTTTGTGGAAGCTGTTGGCTGTCAGTACTTTAGTCAGGGTGCATAGTTCAGTCTTTATGTGTGTCTTGTCTGCCTGGCGTTTCATTCTGGCAATTAGTGTTTTGGCCACGGAGTTTATCTGTGCTGGGTGGTGGTGGGATTGGGCGTTGAGGTAGCGGTTGGTGTGTTTTCTTCTGGTATATGGTGTGTCCTAGTGTGCCATCTGTTTTTTTTGTAGATTAGTACATCTAAGACACACATGGTAGAGATTAACAGGTTTTGCAATATTTAACTGAGTCAGAATAACAAGCTTGCTAAGAGTGTGTTTAGGGACAAAAATTAGTGTGATAGAATAAATGTGAGTTTTGCCATTTGGATTTTGTCAGCCCTGCTAGATAGACCAGACCAAGAAAATACAGGTAGTCTTAGACTTACAACAGTTCATTTAGTGACCATTCAAAAGTTACAATGGCACTGAAAAAAGTGACTTATGACTGTTTTTCACACTTATGACCATTGCAGCATCCTCATGATCAAGTGATCAAAATTCAGATGCTTGGCAACCGGTTCACATTTATGATCATTGCGATATCTTTAGGTCATGTGATCTCCTTTTATGACCTTCTGACAAACAAAGTCAATAGGGAAACTTAACAACCATGTTACTAACTTAACAACTGCAATAATTCACTTAACAACTGGGGGAAGAAAGATCGTAAAATTCACTTAACAAATTTCACTTAACAACTGTCTCACTTAGCAACAGAAATCTTGGGCTCAATGGTGGTCATAAGTTGAGGACTACCTGTAACTTCATAGGAAATGTTAAAACTACTTTTATTGAGGTTGACTATAATAACAGAATCTTGAAAATATCACTGTGCAGTGAAATAAGGAGGTGCTACTTCTGAATATTATCTGTATGTTGCAGGCTTAAAGTATGTTTCACCCACACACCACTCTGCTGTCTTGGTAACAAATACTGTATATTTATGTCAAGGTTGTCTTCTTATTTTACAGATTTTACTCTGGGGTTATTCTTTTTTCTTGCCTTAATTGTCTACATAATTTTATAATTTAATTAAGCAATTTATGTAAACTTAAATACAAAATCACTTGCAAAGGAAATCATTTCTAAACAGATGGCACGCTCTTTCTTTTCATTCATCCAGGAAATTTTTGGAGCAAATCCACCAGGCTGGGGTAATTGCTAATGAAATTTATCAGAAGAACCTGCAAAGGTTAGCTTGGGAGAAAAAACATGAATTGGAAATGGCCTTTATGGTCTCCCAAAAGGAGTTTGAGGAAGAGACGAGGAAACTGCTTGAAAACGCTGATAATATTCGGGAGGCTCAACTTGAAGAAGTGAACACTGAAGTGAACAAGAAAGAAAGTGAAATCCTATCGCTGAACCAGCAGCTGGAATGTATGACAGCCTGGAAAGACAGCCTGGAAGCCGAAATATTAGAAATCAGGGAAGCTTTTCAGAAATACATTAACCTCACCTTTCCGCAGCTTGCCCCGGGGCAAGCGGATTTCATCTTACCATTCCGAAAAATATCTGCATTCAGAGACTCTGGTGTAGAATTGTAAGATCAATGTCCATCAGGAAAGACACTCCGGAGAGTAGTGGATTGGCTCCAGAGATACCAATATGCACTAAGGAGATGCGGGGGTGCTGGGAAAAAAGAAATAAATCCACTGTGCAATGAACATGCGGCTGTAAGGGAACTTAAATGCTTCCTTATTCATGGACCAAGAACAAAGCAATGAGGCTGAATTAGGACCATAGCCTCAAGGTGAAAATATGGGTGGTTCTGATATTTGTGTATACAGGTAGTCCTCGACTGAACGATCACAACTGAACCCAAAATTTCTGTTGTTAAGCAAGACACTTGTTAAGTGAGTTTTGCCCCATTTTACGATCATGGCTGCTAAGTAACCCTGCTAAGAATGAACCTGGCTTCCCCATTGACTTTGCTTGTCAGAAGGTCTCAAAAGCTGATCAATGACACTGCAACCATCATAAATATGAATTAGTTGCCAAGCGCCTGAATTTTGATCACATGTTCGTGGGGATACTGCAACAGTCGTAAGTGTGAAAAACAGTCATGTCATTTTTTTTCAGTGCTGTTTTAGCTTTGAACAGTCACTAAACAAATGGTTGTTAAATTGAGGACTACCTGTAAGAAAAAAAAATCTGATTTCGGTATACACAAATATCGGTAATGTCAATGGGACATTCATATGGTTTCAAGCATCTGTGAAATCTGATCACAGCTAACAATGAAATTTATGCATAGTACATCATGGGAAGCGGTGTCAGCTTCACTCATTTTTGTAACTGCTTTAGCTTGCTTTATTGTACATGAGATTTAATTGCTGTTTCTTTGCGTTAAATAATACTCTGTAATATTACGATTTTTAAAAATATTATCGGCACCTAGTCCATAACCTACTTTACCCCTTCTACATTCTGTGCAGCTTATAAAGCATGGGGGAAACGTGTAGGCTTCGTGTACTAGTGTCAAATCCATTTTTATGGCCACTCAATTTCTGCCCCCTCTCCCAACAATGCAAAAATTTAGAGGCTAAATTCTTTATTATCTCATTGTAATGAATACTTTGCTGGAGAAAGCTACAATATCATACACCCACCCCTACAAAGTTCTTTACCAGGATTGCTGGAAGTATAAACTGCCTCCATTTTATGAAAGGAAGGAAGCTAAAAAGAAAGTGTCAACAATCCAAAAAGTCAAATAACCACTGAGATGGTACAATAAGAAGTAATAATATTAGAATCCAGGTAAGTCCTGAATGAGGAAAGGTATCTAGGATGTGACCTGTGGCTGAGCCCATGTGGTGATGATGTCAACCTTTTTTGAGTAAGGGTCCTTGTTTTAGCAAAAGGATATTTTGTGCACAGCAGTGAACCTCACACTACTACCCGTAACATTTGAGCCATACTCAAGGGCAGTTTTGCAGGATTCAACACTACTGGATTACTTGGGTAAAGTGGGGGGTGGGAAGCATTACACATGGCAGATGCCATCACTGAGGGGGCATGCTTCCTAAATCCCTTTGAATGAGATTGTTCCAAGGAAGAAATCTACAGGTAGAACATATTCACTCTGTTGGAGGGAACGCGGAGCACCAACTCCGAGAAAGGACAGAAGTCAACGGTGGGAGGCTCGTTGGCCCCGCCTTTCAATCGGTCCGCGGCTCTCTGTTGGCTAGGCGCCTGCGGTCTCCATGGAAACGAAGGACTGCTTGCATGGATCAACATGCTTCTTGGGGAAAAAGAAGGGAAGGAAAATCGGTCGTGGGGAAAAGGTGGGAGTGGAAAGTAATCCCGTCTAACCTTCCTCTTGGTTTCGTGAGAAGAACCAAGGTAACCTTCGCACAGCCTCGGGCCAGTCGTCAGTCGGCTTTCTAGCGCCCCTTGCACCCATTTTAAGGGGCCGAGTGGTTTCCGTGGCACAACCTGTGTGCACCGAGAAAGCACAGGTCTCCTGACGTTACCTGCTCTCCCCCCCCACCCGTCCCGATCGTGTGTTTTCTGGAAGCAACAGTTGCGGAAAGGAGAAAAGGTGTATATGACCCGAAGCTAGAAGAGCGGTGAGGAGATCTTTTGGAGGTGTTGTGCCTCCTCTGTTTCTGAAGAACTTCTGTAAGTGAATACATGATCCTCAGTTTCCCACCTGTAGATCTACCTTGGATTAACCCTTTCCCACCTATAGATCCACTTTGAATGCTCCATCTCTGATTTTTCAGCTACCTCTGGGAAGTTAACAAAGCTGCTGCACCGCAACGTGTTATAGATTTGGGAAGTGGGCAGTGAGAAGAACTAGGAAGGAGAAAATAAATGTTCTTAATCACATTCACATGGCATGAAATTGGAAGTGCCATGCTGTAAATTTGTGCAGGTTTTTCTGATGACTGAATCAGAAATCTGTCTGAAATCATAAGTTTTGGTCTTTTAACAGTGTTCTGGGTAGGCATTGTAAATGTCCTACACCATACTTTGACTGTATATGAACAGTAAGAATTCATTTTAATTAACGCTTTTGGGGTTGAAAAATAAGTGATCAAATCTGTTAGTCAAAATTAGTTTGACTAATTAACTAGAATTAGTTTTAAAAACTAGTTAAATGGAGAAAAGGATATTGGAAGACATGAAATAAGAGTTACTCCAAAAATAGTACTGATGAAGATCACTTCATTACTTACTAAGCATCCCTTCACTTGCTAAGGTTTTTGGCCTTCTGCTGATATTGGCAGCAACACCACTATTGTATATGATGCCAAAAATGTTGAAATTACAATGTATGGATGCAGGTGGTTGATCCATGTTTCTAAGTCTTTGGACAGGTAAACTCCTTCTACAGTTGGAAATGTAAAAGACTGAACTGGAAACACGGCCTCTTCCATGGTGCTACAATTCTTAAATTGTCAGAGCATTAAGCCATTGTCTGCTTGGTATAATAAGCTTTATATAACAAACAAGAGCTATTTGGATAAACATTTTGATCAGTTTTCTTGATAGCCATTAATCATGCCAGTCTTTCAGCTAGGATATCCTTGAAAGTTTATAGGTTGGGGAGGGGACTTTAAATATGCAGTATTGTCAATAAAAGCAAGCTTGAAAATAGTAATAGGACAAATGTCCATCTTCCTTTTTTATTGCTGCAGAATGGCTCATTGTCAAGCTGAAAATGTCATCAAGAACATCATCCGTGAAATAGGGCAAGAATGTGCAATGAATGGGCAAAATGTGACAGAAACTCTGGTAGCATTCATGGTAACAGCATAAACAATCCACCTTTTCTATTTAAATTTGGGGTGCTGAGCTATTTTTAACTGGAAGTGCCTACCTGGTTTTTGAGTGGTGTGCTGGGACCATGTGAAAGACATTAAATCACACAACTGTTTAAATATATTGGTTTTAAAAAGTTAATATTAGTAGCCTGAATTATTTCACTACAGGACAAAGTCCTCTTCATTAAAGATAATGGACCTTAATCTAATATTGGATCCAGTGGAGTTGTTAGGTAGATATTTTTCAGTTTCCTATTTAGGGAAGAGACAATAACTGGCTCAAAATCATCTATCTGGCTTTTGTGCCAATGAAAAGAATTCATGGTCTCCCAGCTTCTAACTGAATGTGGCTTTCAGTATGGGGAAGTGGTGACAGCCATTTAAAGTTTTCATCATTGAATGAAGAATAAATCATGACACTTATTTCCTATCGACCGGTGATATAAGATAGCTTCATCTTTTTTCTGATGATTCTGTCTATCGAGTGATGAAACTGTCATTAATCTTTGACCAGATTGCAGTTGAAATACAAAACTAATTTACTGGTGTTGGATCTTGTTAATTTAAATGTAAGTTTTAAGTGTAAGATTTAAATTAGGCATTGCTAAGTACTCTTTAATCCTAAATAAGCATAAAAGAAACACATTAATCAGGAAGCTTCTTTGTCATTTTATAGGTGAAAGCTGTTGTACTGGATCCAAAAAATGGATTTAATGTGGATAAGACTCTAACAAAGGCTGATGTACAGAAACTTATTCAGGTAAATACCTGCTTTGGAACTTACGCAAAAGGGTTCTATTCAATGTTATATATACAAAAATATATAACCCTTTTTATTTTTGGGAGTGGTACACCAGTATAAAATCATTCTTAAAAACATAAAAATCATGGGACCTTGAATTTATGCAAGTTTGGATGTGAGATTCCAGACCCTGTCATCATTCTATGATTGCTCTTGTCCCTTTACATCCCATAGAGATTACCGCATTCCCACTTGCAGGAGTAGTATCAGTTGTGATTGCCTAAGTTGTAGTCAGAAGCTTCAGAGGAAAGGGAACAGTCCCAACCAGAAGCCCCATAGAGTTGTAGTGGTGAGCTGTGAGTGGGTCTGCAGGTAGCATTAACATCCAGGGGCAAGATCAAGGGAACCCTTGACAGATTGTGCAAGAGCTGCCCAAAAGAGGAAGCCAGTTTGGGCTATGTGGACAAGTGGCCAACATCCTTCATGATCAACCAAGCAAGTTGCTCTGAAGAAAAGAAGCTTATAAATAAGACTTATGTTGCCTCATGATTGAACAGGCCCAGCAACATCTGTCACAACTAAGCTTAAGAGAAGGAAAAGCAAATATTTGCAGATGACTTCTATGAAAGAAAAAGGGAGGAGTGCACCGTTGCAGTATTATTTAAATATCTTCTAAAAATAATTTGATATCAATCAATTATTAGATTATTTTCTAACTTTCTTACATTGGAACTATCCCCACTGTTCCTCTAGATCAACTCTGTGTGTAAAAATATAATAAAAATGTGGTTAACATATTAACATTCAATGTTTTCCGCTGCAACACTTTGAAATTAAAAATCATTCTCATACAAATTGATTTCTAGAAATAATTACATGAATCCTACTTGGGCCTTTTTGAGATGTGTGGGAAATCCAAAGAATGAAGACATAAATTTTCAAATTGAGTAAAATTGTTTTAAGGCAGATGGAACTTGTCTTGTTAGAGATTTCAGTGTGTTGGAAGACGTAAAAGTTACATAAGTTTTTCCTTATAATCCTAATCTGCTTTAGTAAAAAGAAGGAGCTGATACTTAAAAATAACAGTACTACTAAAGTACAATAATACAGTTTTTATTATGTTGCTTTTATGAGATTGTCAGAGATGTCCCATACTGTTATACTCATAAACTAGGTTTCTTTTTTACCAGAATATTACACGAGTAGCATGCAGATATATATGAGATTTGCCTTATATTTCCATTGGAATGATAATGTTTGATTCTAAATTTTGAGCCAAGAGATTAATAAATGTTGCTAGAAATACTGTTTTCATCATTTGCAAGATAGCTTGAAGCAACTTATTTCAGCAGTTTCTCTTTTCAGCTTTGCGTCTATAGACTTCTTGATGTTAAAAATCCATCCTTGAACACAATTAAGATGCAAGTTTATTTTGATATGAACTATACAAATCGAGGTAAGCACTTTGTGGTAAAGTTATATATGGTGAATATATTACTCTGGTAATGCATTCTCATTCATGCTTACATTAGGTCAAAATTTAGATTTTAATGGGGCTTCTTGCCTAGTAAAACATCCACTCTTGTTTATTTAGATATTTATCATTTATAATATTAATATCGAGAGTAAAAGTAAGTAATGTAATAAACAATCACACACAAATGAAAGCAAGGAAGTTATAAATGAAACTTTTTCAAATATTACCAACCTGTACTTTGCCGAGCATTAATAGTCTTTAAATCAATAGTCTTGAAATCCTGAAAACATTATACAGGTAAAGGTATCCTTGCTGGTTTTACTCCACTAGTCACAGTCAATTTTATGGGCCAGTGCTTACCTCTGTTTTGTTAAGCCACTGAGCCAATGCTGTCCAAAGATGTTTGTGGCCAGCATGACATCATGCTGCACTGCAAAGCATTTGGAGAAACACGGAACGCTATCACCTTCCCACAGAAGTGGTATCTATGTATCTACCTACATTTACATGCTTTCAAGCTGCTAGATTGGTAGGAGCTGAGGCAGGTGCAGGAAGCTTAGTCTGTCACATAGTGGTAAGATTTAAACCAAGGGTCTTCAAACTTGGCAAGTTTAAGACTTTTGGAGTTCAACTCCCAGAATTCCTGAGCTAACATGACTGGAGGAGGAATTCTGGGAACTGAAGTCCACAAGTCTTAAAGCTGTCAAGTTTGAAGACCCCTGATTTAAACACTGGAGTATAGACCTTTTCTGATCTTTTTAATCCAGTGAGATAGCGCGCCTGAAAACATATCCTTATCAGATTGATAACACAGATACCAATAAACCAGTAAACTGGTTATGTCTAATTACCAATTGTAAAATATAATTCAATCTGTTTTAACTCAGTGAGGAACCCTACTGTGCCATTAGAATAATTTGGTAGGGTTATAGTAGTATGAATGTGTGGGAAGAGTTGAGTATACACAGGTACTCTTACATAGCTATACTGTACTGAAAGTCTTTTTTATTTCTTTGCTATAGCCCTTTCCTTTCTCTGTGATTTGAATTGAAAGTCTGACTGCAGGATTAAGCCCAGTGAGAGAAAGTCTCTCTGTGTTAGAATATATTGTGGTACGTTAACCTTGGGAATAGCTTTCATGCAATGGTTTTGTGCTTTTTCTTAGTTGAGTTAATTAAGGAACAGCATCATGTTCTAGACTCAAGGCTTGCTCCTGTATCTAGAGAAATTACCGATAATCGAGCGCGTACCCGAGAAGAATTAGAAAGTGTTTATCGAAAGATTGTCAGCTATGTGCTGCTTCGCTCTGGCCTTGGATCTCCTACAGACATTAAAGTCATTAGAGAGGCAACTGGTTAGTAAAAATGTCCAAATAGAAAATTATAGCTTGTTAATAATATTGCATATAGTGATTTGACTACAGTAGTTACTCCAGGATATATTAGAAAAAAATAAATATCACTTTCAATGCTGTCCTTCAGCTTAAGCTGGAAACATTAAAGGTTCTCTGTCTCTGCCATTAAAGGTTCTCTGTCTGTTTCTATGTCCTATCTATCTACACATTTACATCAGAGCTGGTATTCAGCAGGTTCTGACCAGTTCTGGAGAACCAGTAGTGGAAATTTTGAGTAGTTTGGAGAACCGGCAAATACCACCTCTGACTGGCCCCGCCCCCATCTATTCTCTGCTTCCTGAATCCCAGCTGATTGGCTGGGTCTCCTTTCGTTTCCCTGCACAACGGAACGGAACTGGAAAGCAGGTTAGTGGGGTGGGGAGGTAATGGGATTTTGCAGTAACCTTCCCCCTGGAGTGTGGGGTAGGAATGGAGATTTTGCAGTATCCTTCCCCCGCCACGCCCACCAAGCCACACCACACCCACCAAGCCGCTAATATAAAATATTCAGTGTCCAGCAGGAGATATCTATGTTAATTTCTCCCTAGTCAGTCACTATAAACAAGATTGCTTGAGAACAGCTGGCTAATGCAATAATGGAGAACTAGGCAGACGTCACTTCCCATATTGCTAAACTTACCATGATCAGTTGAATTAGCTTCCCATCTTCTTCTATCAATGCTATTATTTCTGGTTCCATTTCCAAAGGAGCTCATAAATGAAGGAACCAGTCAGCAGCCCTAGCAAAAGACTATTCAGGGGCAATACTGTTCAACATCCTGTTTGCTTTCTGCTACAAATTGTTCACTGGGCACTGCATAGCACTGCCTGCTACACAGCTGAGAATTCCCTAAGAGCTTTCTGGAAACTTAGGTTTTTTAGGCATGTGGAACAGATCACTCAAATCGGTTCTCCTGTCCCATGGAGATCCTGGGTGGCTAACAATTGGCATGAGATTTGGTCATGACAAAACTCTTCCATGGATCATGTAACCTCCATTCTGAAACAAACATGACATGCACGGTCCCCTATATGTGTTGAACCTATGACTATTTGAAACTATGGTTGCCATAGAGCACATAAATTCCTGGGCATTGTTGGAACTGGCCTTCAGTCAGTGTGATTAAAGTTGCCCAGCACTGAAAGGCAGAAGTTGTCCATCACTAAGCCAGAACCCATTTTCAGGAGCTCCAGAAAGGATTTTTTTCTGGACTGTAGGACAGTTGAAATACCAACAAGTCTCCAAGCTTGTCTTTACATTTGCACAATGAAATAATGACTACTGATTTTTTTTTTATGAAGCTCCACATGTTAAATATCTAAAATCTTAAAATCTAAACAGAAATTTGCAATAGCAGAACTAAAAAATGAGCAAGAATTATATTCTACGCTAGGCGTACGGTAGGGATTAGAGATGGTCTGTTTCCATACAGGCATTACTGTTCTCCGTTGGAAGTCAGTGTTTTTTCATGATCTGACTCTTTGCATATTTAATATTTTACCAGCTGCCCTGCAGAGTGTATTTCCTCAAACAGAGCTTGCAGCTTTCCTCTCTCTCAGTAAAAAAGAGAAAGAACAGCAATTGAAAGAACTCACCATGATTGTCACAGGAATTCGATTGTTCAACAAGGACTGTGGGAAAGGTGGCGAAGGCATTGACGACTGTAAGTGAATACATATCTACTAATGTAGGTTCAGAACATACAGACTTAACCTATTTCTGAACATATCAGAAATGTTCAGAGCTTCTTGGAATTGTTTAAGAACTTCAAGAGAGTTGCTTGAGATGAAAGTTACCTTTAATTCCTCCCACCCCAAAATGATAAGTTATTTTTCTCTGAATATCCTCCAGAACAATCTGATCATAGTTTTTTCCAAAGATAGAAAATTAGATAGAATATTCCTTATTTGTGCTTAATTGATTTAAAGCACGATCCAAGGAGATCTGTGGGTATACATGAAGTCCTTGTGCACATTCCCCAATGGGTGATGTTTCCTTTCTCATTGAACCTTTTATGTTTGATGTAGATATTATTGGAGAATCTCAGTTTCTGGGGACACTTTCTGAAGCATGTAGGCGGCTATAGAGGAAGGACTTCTCAAAAGCCCAAGTGTACATCTAAGGGATGGAGAGTGCTCTTTGAGTAATAATTTAGACCTGGGAGTGTGAGGAAAATGTATTTTGCTAATTAAAGAAATGGAACTTTGAGATGAATTGTGTGTCAACAGTGCCAGCGATTCTGAATGAAGCTATCCCAGCAGCCAGCCATCATATAGACATTGAACTGCATGCTTCCCAACAGCTAGCCTACCGATACACGGCCTTGATTGAAATGATGCACCAGGATAAAAACGCTGACATAGAACTGAGGCAGACAGTGTTGAAAGAAGCGCTCTACAATGTCAGACAACACGAAGCTTTCCTCTGCATTATACTGGTGAGATTCCATTGTGTGTTGCAAACATTCAATATAGCTAAAACTCTCTTAGTGAAAGGTGGGCAAAATTTGAGTGATGGCAAATCACTTTTAGCGGAAATAAGAATATACAATGTTCTCATGTTCTCATTCTTTAAAAAGTGAAATGGTCCAATCTTCAAAGTATTGCTTTTGTTTATTAAGCAACTCGATACAACTTTTATAATTTCCTACAAAAGTTATATCTGCCACCTCTAACATATATTTTCAGTCTGATGTGATCACATGCGCACAAGAAGTTGAAATGATGCAAAAGGAATTTGCAGCCGAGATGGAACAGGTCAACAACATTGTTAAGTCAAAAACGGCAGTGCCCACATCTCTTGTTTATGTGAGTTTCTGAATTTCAAGAATGTTCTGAAATTATAAGCTTTTATTCACCTATATTTAGATATATATTTAAAGTTGATAGATTTACCCAATCAGTCTGGCAGGGTTTTTGAGTGACACACAACTTTACTTTGATAACAGCCTATATTTAAAAGTTAATTAAAAGCAGAAAAATAATATCCAAAAGAAGCAGTGTTTGATTTCCTGCTGAATTTCATTTTAGGAATATCTCTCCCAAATATCTAGCAGTAGACACGGCCAGAATACCAAGTCTCCACTTGCCTTTGTGATGCTTTCCCATGTTCAAAAAATCCTGATAAAATCACTCGCCGTGCTCATCACTTGACTGCACTGTGGTTGTCAGGAAAAAGATCCAAGAGAGAGTCTGAGAAATGAACTTTCAATGACATGTTACATTGCATAACTTGGTACGACATCAAGAAATCACTCACTGTTTTGCAATAGCTTTCTGCCTTATAATGTTCCTAAAAGTTTATGCAGGTGCTTTGGAATAATTACCATGAAGCATTTCCAATCTCCCTTAGCACTTCATCAATCACTTCATCCAATTTGTCATGTTTTATCTTTTTTTTTTTTAATCCAAGGAGTTACAGAAATATCTTCCTTAAATTTAACATCACTAAACCTGTGAAATATATTCCTCTAGTAACTGAATCCAATTGCAATTTTATTCATTGCTTTTATTGAGCCCAAAATTGATGTGAAAAGGAGAGGAGAAAACTAAATGTCACATTTTCTGGAGACCTTGGTACAGGCACCTCCTCGTTATGTGGGACCGGTCCTCATTCCAGATGGTTAAGTGGTATTTCACAGCATGCTTTCTTTTAGAAGTGATTGCTATTGTGCTTTTTGGGCAGAGATATATTTGGGGTGGGGTGGAGGGCGATGGGCTTCCTACAGTCATAGAAACAGAGAACGGCATATGGTGTGAATCTTCTAATCATTGTGTTAAAAATCTTAACACATATTATACAACAGATGTGAGGGGCCCAATTCCCCAGTTCTTATGTTGGTTATCCACTTTACAACCAAAATAATGTTCATTGCATTTTTTTGACAAGTTTTGTTTCGGAAATTTAAATGCAAATTCATCACACATATCACAGGATGAATTATACTGTTTTGTGGCATTGTAAATAAGCACAACATTATTACAACCAAATATTTGAGTACAGAGAATGTACATAACATGCTTCCATTGTGAGCTCTGTACCAGACTGATAAGGAATTGTTCTGCAGGCAGAGACTGCATTTAGACATGTCTAAACACAACTCAACCTGCACAGTGTTGTTACAAATTGTTACAAATATGCTAACATAGCTAAAATATAGTACTATAATATTACTAAATAAACTTACTGACCTGTATCTCTGCTTCCCTTTTTATCGAGGTTTTTGAGTCAACTGTCTTCTCACACTTGTTCCTTTGTCTTCCAGTGGTCTTGTTTGTCCAATTAAGATTTGGGGCAGGTCATTCAACTTGGGTAATGCTGTCAAGAGTACTGAATCTGGGGGTCAAACCCCAACATCTTAAATTGATGTTGGTCTTTTTGGACCCAGTGTTTAATACTTTTGATTAACAGACATTGCTGTCTGGGGTACAGGCCCTGAACATCATTGGCTAAGCATTGCATTAGTTCAAGTTTTCTTTGTTTTCTTTTGCAATTGAGATATCCCTTGAGGATTAGTTCCAACTCCTATTTTGTAATCCTTTGTGCTCTTATTTATTTAATTTCAGTTTCTATAGTCATCGACTCCTGTATTACTGGTTGGCTAGCTGTAGTTAAAAACAATACAAGCAATCCTTGATTTATGTGGGAATTGGAATTGAATCCTATGGTCATTAGGCATGGCCACTGGCCCAATCTCAAAGACAACACAAAGAAATCCAGTCAAGTCCTATCCTTTATTTGCTTACATCTAATGGACAGTATCTTGCCAGACTAAAGCTTTAACATTCTAACATACTAGATCAGAGATGGTACTCAGCAAGTTCTGACCAGTTCTGGAGAACCGGTAGCAGAAATTTTGAGTAGTTTGGAGAACCAGCAAATAGCACCTCTGACTGGCCCTGCCCCATCTATTCTCTGCCTCCTGAGTCCCAGCTGATTGGCTGGGTCTTCTTTTGTTGCCCTGCACAGGAGAATGGAGCTGAAAGCAGGTTAATGGGATGGGGAGGGAATGGGGATTTTGCAGTATCCTTCCCCTGCCACACCCACCAAGCCATGCCACGCCCACAAAACAGTAGTAAATTTTTTTTAAATCCCACCACTGTACTAGATATATCTTTTCTGCAGTTTCAATATCTTGCCAGGTGATAAGCTGATTTTAAACCCTTTTAAGATCCATCTAGCAAGGGCACAGATAGTCACTTGATGATTGTTGAATCCAGTGGATTTGATAGAAAACCTGTAGCTTTATTGATGCAGGCTCTGGTTGTTTCTCAGTTAGATTATTGCAATTGTCTCTTGGCAAATCTTCTCTCTGTTTTCTGATCCTAATCCAGAACTGAGTCATTTGGCCTGTTCTACAGCTTCCAACTTCAGCTCATATTTTGTTAACCTGTAGGGTTCTTCCCAGCATCCTGTTCAGACCATATGAAATGTGTTTAGAGCCCGCTGGCACAAACTCCCAGTATCACTCCATTCTTAATTCTGTTCATTTATCACATACCCTGGCCAGAGTCTTCTTATTGTTCCTCATTACAGAATCATGATTTCCAAGTTTTCAAGGACTTCATCTTGTTTTATCAAATAGATTTTTTCCCAGAACTGTCATTTGCCATTACGTTTGCATCATACCTGCTCTATGTTTAATTTGCCAACCAAAGAATACTTGCTCAATGTGACATGCACACTATATATGGCAAAAAAATGCATCAACTACTTTGTTTAACTTTTAAAGCACCTGCAGGAGATCTGAACACAGCTGTGATACCCCGGGGCGTGGCACAAAGGCAACACAGTCACATAAATAAGAAGAGTCCCTTTAATACCTCCAACTTGCCCCCAATGTCCAGGTGACCTTCGATTGGAGAAAAAGAAGTCTTTAAGTGGAGGAAATTCAGTCCAAAAACAAAGTACGTACAAGCTGTAAATAAAAATCCTCACAAACCACGCTGCAGCAATTAACTTGACAGGGCAGGAGAAGGAAATCTGTGTGTGTTTTGCTGAAAGCCCAGCAAAACACACACAGTTGGGAAGAAATCAGGAACCCAGATAAGCCTCCACGATACCAGACAATTCATGATTTGCTCCCAACAACTTTGCTGTGCACATCTTCCCTTTTTAAACACTGTGTTCTCAGCTGCAGCTAATGAAGGGAATCAGGGCCCTTTCTTCCCCTGTAAGCCATGCAACTCATGTTGCTCCCTTCTCCGTTCCTCTCTGCCTTGCTCTACCTCTCCCTGCTCTGCCCAGGCAGACTTTGCTCTTCCCCGGTTTCTTCCACAGCCAATGGAGCCTCACTCACACTCCATCAGCTGCTTGGCCTCCCCCTCAGAATCAGATTCCGACAGGGTCATGACAACAGCATTTCTGACAGTATGTCTGGATTAGCTTTAAAGGTACCTCCCCAATCCATACACAAGTAGCCCTTGACTTAAAACCATTCGCTTAGTGACCACTCGAAGTTACAGCAGCACTGAAAAAGGTGATCTATGACCATTTTTCATACTTACGACTATTGAAGCTTTCCTGCGGTCACACATTATCAAAATTCAGAGGCTTGGCACCTGGCATATATTTGTGACAGTTGCAGTGTCCCAGGGTTATGTGATCACCTTTTGTCAACTTCTGACAAGCAAAGTCAATGGGGGAAGCCAGATTCACTTAGCAACCATGCTACTGACTTAACAACCTTGGCACGAAAAACCATAAAATGGGACAGAAATCACTTAATAATTAACTAACTGTCTTGCTTAGCAATAAAGACTTTGGGCTCAATTGTGGTTGTAAGTCAAAGATTACCTATAGACACATCCACAAACACACCCCTTATATACATGTTTGATGGACATACCTTATAATATACAAGGTGCGTACCAGTGGTAGGATTCATTTTTTTTTATTACCGGTTCTGTGGGCGTGGCTTGGTGGGTGTGGCAGGGGAAAGGATACTGTAAAATCTCCAGTCAGAGGCGGTATTTGCCTGTTCTCTGAACTACTCAAAATTCCCGCTACTGGTTCTCTAGAACTGATCAGAACCTGCTGAATACCACCTCTGGTGCGTACAAAATAGGTTCTGCATACTTTTGACAAATGGACAATACAGTTTCGCAGCCATAATAGAAACATATTTTTAGATGTATATATATATTTTTCCTTCTAGCCTATATTTATTGGACTTTCTAACCTTTGGACCAGTTTTCAAGATGAAATATTGGTGCTCAGTTTCCTCAATAATTTGACCGTCAGTCTCCAGCAGTTCTTAGAAACCCACGCATTAATCTTTCCCGAAGAGTTGATAGTGCCTCTTCTTGAAGGCCTTGTTATCAAAAGTGATGAAGAAAGGTTATTAAAAAATGCTGGTAAGTAGAAGGAGTAAATAAAAAATGGAAGCTGCTATATATTCTTTGCAATTGTGAAGTTTGGGGGTGGGGGAACAAAGTAGCGGTCCCCATGCCTTTAAACCATATGATATCAAGAATCTCTCGTATCTTTATTTTTGTAGACAAAATAACATGTTTTGCATTCATACTTTTCTTATACTATATTGATATTTTAAGGAAATATTGACAACATAGTTCCATGGCCTAAGTTGGAATTGGTTCAGGATAGAAAAATATTATAGTGAACTTTTTATCCCTCAGGGAGAAGGCAGCGTGATGTTAAACATGAAAAATGAGCATGAAATAGAAAAATGTATTTAGCTTCCAATCTGAAACAAATACTGCTTTCTGGAACTTCTGGAACAAACACAAAGTGTTCTGGATGATGCAGGATCCAATTGCAACATTATCCTGGGACATGTATACAACTACTCAAAATTTCCGCTACCGGTTCTCCAGAACTGGTCAGAACCTGCTGAATATCTAGTTTGGGCCCAAACTACTGCAAGCTAGCTGTTCCGCACATGTAATGATTCATGTATGATCTCTTTTGAAGACATTGATGAGAACATCCCAGGGAATACTACAGGCCCTGGCCTTAGGTGTCCTGTACTGGCTAAGGCTTTAATTCGTGTTCTTCTCAATTTACTCGTTTTAGATGACAAAGTAAATCCTGCTGATTTTGTCAAAGAAGAATGGTTCTTTCCAGAAAGTACAATTAATTTTAGTCAACTGCTGCTTCAGTATCATGGTTTTTGTGCATACACTTTTGCTGTTAAGGATGGCCTTCTTATCCCAGGTAATTATAGATAATTCTTGCTTTAAATATTTTTTAATATAATAAAAATATGATATATTTAAAGATCAGATATATATTTAAATATATTTAAAGATCAGATCATATGAAAGGGTTATAAATGGAAGACAGTTTTATTTAGGACACTTCTCAGATTCATGAGCATGATATGAATGTAGCATGATAATTGCTTCCTGATTCTATTTGCTGTGCAGCCACACCATATTAGTGTCTCTCTATCTCCCTCTTTTCTCCTCTTCTCTCCCCCTTTTCTTTTAAGAACGCAGCTGAAAAACAGGGAGCAGGAGAGGAGGGGGAGAACACAATGTAAAAATTGGGCTAAGCTTTTTTAAAAAAAGAATCTGTATATTGCATGTTTTCTTCATTCAAAAGTTAAGAAAATTATGTTTAGATATATGTACAGTGAATGTTTTGTGCTTTTCATTTTTTAGGAAATCCTTCCATTGGAGTCTTGAAACATAAGGAGAGATATTATTCTTTTAATTCTAAGGAAGCTGCATATGCTTTTGCCAAGTGTCCAGATAAATATATTAAGATGGTAGCAGAAAAAGCAAAGGAATGTGCAGAGCTTATTCAGCTGCTTGAGCTTCACCATCAGTTTGAATACTTGGCTCCTTATTCTCAGGTGCTCCATTATATTCTTCAATAATTGCTTTAAAGAGGCACTGCTGGAAAACACCTATTCTAGGAAGCTGACTAGAATATCTCTCAAAGCAAAGGTGGAACTTGGTGCAGTGGTGATGTCTGCACTGTTGGTAGTGAGTTTAGCTCTGCAGACTTCCCAATTTGAAATACGCTAAGCAATCGGTAACTGATATTCTTCTTAGGCATGCTTAATGAGAAGAAAGCAGTGAGCCATACTACTAAAAACATTTTCTTAAAAAATTCAGATTGAGTTTCTGTGGCATTGGTCCAAAAATTAAGGAAAGGGGATGAGAATAACGTTTTGTTTTTATTTGTGCCGTTGCTCCAGTTTAGAACTAAAGACAAACATTTACAGCAGCCAATCTCAAAATGTGACACCAGTACGCAGACTGATACCCACATTTTGCCACCAACAATTGTGAAGAATTATGAGTGGAATGAATGGGAGTTGAGGAGAAAAGCCATCAAACTGGTCTGTATCCTAGCCTGATAATTGAACTAAAAGGGCTGGAATTTTTGTCCCACAATCTCAGTTAATTACTGGAATTCCCAATTTTCCAGTTGAACAAAATATCTAGTTTTGGTAAGATCTGAGATTATGAGACAAAATATTCAGATTATTAAAGCTGGGGCGATGGTTGATTATTTGCAAGAAATGTGAACTAAGAAGATTGAGAATAATCATTTATACAGTATGCAGAATAGACTTTTTATTTATAGCCCATGTTTGAATATTCTTTGCAACTATGTAAAGCTCTGAAAGTTTTAAGTTTGAAATGTTAATTAATTTAACAGTGTTTGAGCTCCAGTTTAAAACAATTTTCTACAAGTTTTCCATAAGATCTGCTCTTGTTTGCTCTTACACTATTTTAATTTTTAAGTGTTTTTAAAAAGTAAATTTTCTTTTGAAGTTTTGTAATGGAAAGCCAGGATATATATTTAATAAATTATCATGGCATAAATTGCCCTTGTTCTTTTTAACATGTAAGAAGAAAGCTATGCTAATTCAAAATGGTACAGTACACTTATAAGCCAATGGATTCTCCAGAATGAAGTTAATCTTTATTTTTAAACCAGAAACTAGAGAAGATTGAATGAGGCTCTTGAATCTATATTTACTCGTAGATAATAGTTCAGCTGGAAATTTAATTCATAGAAGTTTAACTGAATTAAACAGATGCCTGTTCTGCCTTTGCCCTCTCTATTACAAGAGAAAAGTCTAGACTGTGCCAATTTTAAAACAGAAATCTTCTCAAAATGATTATTTCCTATTAACAATCTAGTTGACCTAGATTTATAGTTATAGTTTCATATATGTTAGCTTTCAATTACTGGCATTCCAGCATTAAAACATATATGCAGTGAATCCATATAATTTCAAGAGTGTGATTTTGCTTAGTTGCATATATTTTTCTGTATTCAGGCCAACTTGCGCCAAAAGCTAACTCATTCAATGCAAACTAACCTCAGCCATATGAGACGGGACAACTGCAGCCAAGTATACTTGTTAAAGGATTCTAGCTCACAAACTAAGCGAGAGAACAGTAGCAATGTACCGAAGCCACAGATTTTCCTAGCTGGTCTTCGTGGAGGAACACCCCCAACTACTCATATGACCAAAGTGAATTTAACTAGAGCAGTTGATGAAACATAATTTTGTTGTTTAACTGAGAATAAAATCAATAAATTAAAATGTTTAAAAATATAAATGAGTGTCCCTTTTTTTTTGTTGGAAGGTTGGAAATACATTTCATGAGTAGGAGGGTGGGGGGCTCCAAATATCAATAATAAGCTGCAGTATATTCATGCCCAGACCTGTCCCTCTATGATGTCCTGTATTAAACGATAACTTAATTTTATCAAATATAAATTAAGATACACTGCATCTCATCGACTGTACTTCAGTTTCTTATTACTGATATTTATTTCTTGCATTTTCAGATTGCTTATTCTCTTAGTCATGACTAAAGTCTGGAATGACTAAATGCCGAAGGCGCACGGAATGCTGTTACCTTCCCACCAAAGTGGTCTCTATTTTTCTACTTGCATTTTTACATGCTTTCGAACTGCTAGGTTGGCAGAAGCTGGGACAAGTAACGGGAGCTCACTCCGTTACGTGGTGCTAGGAATTTGAACTGCCGAACTGCCGACCTTTCTGATCAACAAGCTCAGCATCTTAACCATTGAGCCACTACATCCCTATAGGCCTGCCTTACAGCCTCAGAATCCCACAGTGACTTTATATGTATATATGGTTGGTCATATTAAATCTCAACCTCAACAACCAATATTTCTATACACAGACATTGTGGGGCAGGAAAGGCATGTTTATTAATGTAACAGTAAATGGAAAAAAATGCTACCAGCACATGCATTGCTTAGAGCAGGGGTCCCCAACCACTGGTCCCCGGACTGGTACCGGTCCGTGGATCATTTTTTACTGGGCCGCAAAGCTTGGGCGCCGCCATCTTGTTTCGACGGCGCTTCCGGGTTTTTGGTTGGAAAGTGCTTCCGGGTTTTCAGTTGGAAAGCGGCGTTTGGGTGCTCGCGCCTTAGTTTCGTCGAAGAGGGTGGGGGCGGCTTCGAACGAAGAGCCGTCCTGATGGCGGTGGAGTCTCGCGTTACTCAGGTACCGGTCCGTGGAAGAATAAATAATCGTGAAACCGGTCCCTGGTTCAAAAAAGGTTGGGGTGCACTGGCTTAGAGGACATCACTTTTACACTGGGAAATAGAAAAAAGAAGACAAGAGAACAAGGCAGTGACAAACTACTTACACATTGTTGCCAAGAAAACTATGAACGCATTGACATAATTACTAGGACCTGAATTTGAAGGACTTTACCATGAGGATACAGTATAAGTGACTGGAGTGGGCAGGCAAGAGTTAAAAACCAAAAACTAATTTTAGTATAACAAAAACCAAACCAATGTCTGAGGTGTAAACAATCCAAGATGAATGACTCACACTCCAGGAAAGGTCATGCCATCACAGTATACATCTGCCTAAAAGTGCTCCAGAACACTATTTCTCAAACTTTTCCCTCTCAAGACCACCTCCCACTTTTAAAAAGAGCTTTTGTTTATACGAATTAGATTTATTGATATTAACCATATTAAAAATTAAAATTGATGCATTTGCAAAAAAAAAATATTGATCCATGTAAAATTAACAGTAATGAGCCCATTAGATACTAACATATTTTTCATGAAAAACCTTATAATTTTAACATAATAAAGATAAGTGTTGTTTTACGTTTTTGCAAATATCTTCCATATTTGGCCAATAATTTTGATTTAGTGGACCCTTGAGATTGTCTCTGGCGATCCTCAGGCTACACTTTAACAAATATTGTTCTAGAAATAGCTTCGTTTCATTGGGAGAAATCCCGGCTGTAAAAGATGGCATTGGACAGTGATTCTACTGTCCGTTCCAAAAAAAGACACAAGAAGAGATCAGACCTTAGGTGCGCTCTACTAGCTCAGGGTTTCTCAAACTTGTCAACCTTAATACATGGGCCCAAAGGTGCTTTTCCCCCCAAAAAGATAACTGGACCTTCTTGTTTTTTTCCTTGAAGAAAAAAGATCTCCATCATCCAGCCCGAACTGAAGAAGCTTCTTGGATGAGAAGCGAAATGTCTTCAAAGAAAAACAAGAAAGTCCAATTATCTTCTGAAAGTGCACCTTTGGGACAACCATGACCTGGATGACTGAGACTCTCCATATAGACCCTTAAGACGTGGATTTCAACTCCCAGCATTCCCCAACCAGCAGGCTGAAGACTACATGATTTGAAGTCCACATGTCTTAAAAGTTGCTGAATTGGGCTAGCTGAAGTCTGTCTTGATATTAAAACTAAGAATCTGCGCCGTCCTGTCCCTTTAAGGAACAGCCCTGCCAACACCAATCTACTTCCTAGAACAGACGACTGAGGAGTTCCACGGAAAGCTTCGGTCTATTTCTCTTTCCGGCGATAGGATCGAAGCGACGCGTACCGGAACGGACCCTCTAGTTGGCTTCTATAGCTCTCTATGGTAAATTGGACTGATCGGCTGGGCGGGCTTATTCTCACTCCAATTGATACCTTCTCTTGGCTACTATGGCGCCTCCGAAAGGTAAACGATGACTCGTATCCTAACGTCTGATCCTGCTGGTACTCGGATCGCAAAACCAGCCGCTCCGATCGGCTCCGCTTTACTAGTTGTGCAGAAAGAGAGCGATCCGTTTCACTGGGGCTAATGGTTGGGCATCCCCACGTGCGGCGGGGGGATTCCGTATAGAAAAGGAGGAATTCTGAAGCCTCCCCCGGAATGGAACCCAGTCTGATTAGAAGAAGAAGGTGGCTAGTTTAAATAAGACGCAAGCCGATATCCGCTTGTTGCCACCCATTCTGTTGTCTGTGGGTAGCCGTTCCGTTGCATTATAATAGGTTTTCCCCAACCAAAGCTTTTCAGATGTATTGGACTTTTTTTTTTAAAGAAATTATGCTGGCTGGGAATGATAGGTTTGGAAGTCCAACTGATTTGGCCCCATGTTGGGAAAAATGGTCGGAGTGATTTTGGTTGGAGTAACTGGTCCCTAAGAGCCTTTTGGCACGGAAAAAAGTGCACGCCTTTCCAGTCCTGTCTGTGTTGTTAAAATAAGTCTCCGGAGCTGTTTGAAAGGATAGCTTGTAATTTACTCTCTGGAAATAATCCTTAATTTGTGCAAGCGATATCCATATCTAATGACTCCCATTCTTGTTTTCAGTCAAGTAAATATTCAGTTGTCAGGCATGACAAGTGATTTATTCTTTAAATATGAATTGACCTGGCTGAAATAATAGAGTAACATAGGAACTTAGTTTGGAAGCATATGAGCTAACTATGGAACGAAATTATATTTTGATTACCAAATTAGATTTGATATCAGAAATTGTAGAAATGAAGACAATGTTCACAATGATCTGGATGTGTGAAGGAAGTACACAAATTGTTCATTGAATTCAGTTCATTTTGAGAGAACTACAATATCTCTTGCTTTCAAAGATTTGTGCAGTGTAGACCACTAATTTAAATGTAGCTGTTCTCTGTAGTTCTAATAGTTCTCTGTGGAAATGGTTCACATTTTACAGATTCATCCAGTTTTTGGCATGTTTATATGTAGGTTTAATATATATTTAAAGAGAAGTTTTAATTCATTGCTAGTTTGGCAAAGTTGTTAATATGGTAATTTTAAAAAAAAACTGATTTGGCTTTATGAGGTATTATGTTATAAATATGCAATGCTATTTTGAAGTCAAAGTTAAATTATACCATATGGTTATACTGTTATGATACAGTATCTCTGCAATTTAGTGTTTTAAATAAACAAGTCTTTCTCTTAATTTTATTTAATCACCTTGCCATATAGGCACCATGTGTAACAATTTTGCATTCTGTCCTGGAAGCAGAATAAACAATATACCCACCCAATATAATATGAAAAGTAAGTTTCCTTGTTACTACTCAAAGGAAGAAAAACATTTAAGAGTGCTGTTCATCACCTGGTTGCACTGGATGATATTTGTATCTGCTGCAGAACCTAGCCTCATATGCCACATGTTGAAGCAAATGAGATCTTATCTTTAAGACAAGCATAAATTATATGATTGCAAAGTGTAACCTGTCATACCTTGGAGGAATATTTATACAAGGTGGAACTCCCTTGAAATAATAAATGGATTTGGGAATGCAAAGCTGTATTGGAATACCGGTATAATGATCCATGTATACCAGTGTTGTGGGAATACAAAAAAACCCTCTAACTTTGTAGAAGTAAAGCAAAAATCTGAGGCAAACATTACTAGTCTTTCTTGATAATGAGAGATGGTATCAATTCTAAATCATTACCTGGAACTGTATGCTGCCAGGATTTTTAATTCTTAATCTCTTATATAATTATTAAAACAAAATCTGTAACAAAGAAATAAAATTACAGAAAATTATCCTGTCTGAAAAATTGGGTAGAGCCAGATGTATCTTTATGAGATGCTATGCAGTGAATACCCTGATGTTAATCACTGGAGATGTGAGGAGAGCCAGTTGCACACAGCAGCTAGATGACCTTGGACCAATCACTCTTTCTCAACTTAGGAAGGAGACAAGGGCAAGCCACTTCTGAAAAACCTCACCAAGAAAAACTGCAGGGACTAGTTTAGGCAGTCCTCTGAGTCAACAGCGACTAAAACCCACTCTCCACCCCAAAGACATGAAGATCTGAGGCTTTTTGCTCCAGGACAGCTCACTCTGAACCAGCCTCTTGTTTTAGGTTGGTTGGCATAGAAGAGAAATAATACTGAGGCACAAAATTGCATCCCTCCCAAATAGGCTGTTTAGGTGGGAGATGCCATGGTAATGATCGTATAAAAAATAGCAGTTGACTTAGACATAGGGAAAAAATTGTTTCCCATGCACACTGTGAAGCAGATCTGAACAGCCTGAACAATTGTTATATATGATGCCGGTGAAGATTCATGTATCAGCCTCTAATGCAGTGTTTCTGAAACTTGGCAGTGTTCAATTTCCAGAATTCCTCAGCCAGTTGTGGAAGTTTAAATCTGCACATTTTAAGATTGCCAAGTTTCAGAAACTTGCTCTAATGGCTACTAGATATTCCTCTGTAGATAGCCAGCTGTCATAGTTGCTGGGGTATCTAAAATTAATTTATTATATTCTCTCTCTTTCCCTCTCCTTTCCCCTCTCCCACTTCCTCCTCACCTCTCTCTTTCTGTATTTCTGTATTTAAGATAAATATGATTCATGTTTTAATTGTTGCACTTCATAGAGGGATCCTTTTGCTTTTCCAGAAAATGTCAGCCTACTTTTTAAATTGTACTGCTTGACGGTGATGACCTTAGTGGCTGCAACATATACAGTAGCGTTACGATATACAAGAACAACCGGAGCAGTTCTGTACTTTTCATCCACAGCTGTTTGCATTACAGAAGTTATCAAATTGTTCCTAAGTTTGGGCATTTTAGCAAAGTAAGTATGAATGCTGGTGAGGATAGTCAGATGATAAATTTACTTGCTTGCTTCTGATTTATTTTCTTCCTTTAAAAAAAACCCCTCCCATAGTTCTTGTTATGATTCTTGTATGCTTTGTGAGTTTTGCTTCTTTAAATAGAAGAATATTTTCAAAGCGAACAAAAACATTCCGGATTGAGTTTTTGTTCTAGATTTTGTTTTCCTCCCAGCAACTTAATAAACAGATGCCATCACTCAAATACTTGTTCATTGTTCCGGCTAAAGGCCAGAGGGTTAGTGTGAATTGAATTCTGAAACTTGAGCCAAAGTGATTTAGTGCAGACATGGTTCTTTGCAAACATTCAAAAGATCCTATGTTCTTACAAGAGGGCATTTAAAATTGGCAATTTATTCATGCTGTTCTTCCTCAGTTATGACTTCCTTAGAGCTTTTGAACAAGGCAAACTTAGAGTTCATGTAACAAAAGTAACCTGAAAACAGTCTCAACAAATGTATAACTTTCAGTCTTTATTTAGTGGTACTTCAAACCTGCTGCCTTGAATTTGCAGCAAAATATACTATGCTGCCTTTGTGGCATAGGTAGATCATGACAATATTTAGACAATTGCTGTGATATATTGCCATCTGATGCTTGGATACATCATACAAATAACAAACTCCCCTGCGTTTTGTTTCTGTTTATGTTGAGTTTCTTAAGGAGTCATAATTGAGGAATCAGCATTGTACTTTCTAGGGATATAGATCAGCAATTCGAATTACCCTCCTTTGTCATGACCATGATGGATGGAGATGATACAGTCCGAATACATTTTGGAGGACAGTGAGTCGGAGAATGCTGGTGTAAAGGATTTATAATGAGCTTTATTAATTCCTCAGTGGTATCGGCTATAAGAACAGGGTTCCCTCTCCACGGTCTGTTCCCTGAAGCTACTTTTCTTTCAATTGGATTTAGGCACCAAAAGGAACCCTGGGTGAGAAGGAAAAATGACACACCCAGGTGGGGCTGATGAGAGAATAGGTTCCACAACTAGCCACATGTCCCTACTACTCCTAAAATTGGGCCTACCAGCCCATATGATGGATAAAATCCAAGTTTAAGCTACGACGTGTTGTTTTTATATTTGAGTTCCTAGCTTGATAAGCTGTTGCATACAGCTTGACTCAACAACAACTCCCCAAAAGTTTGCAGGGACCACTGTAGTATCTTATTTACTTGTCATTTGGCATTGTTACCAAGAGAGATTTGTTCTGATGCCAAGTGTTAATTATCTCTGAGAGGTTTGAGTTATTCTGGAACCAGAGTTTCAATAAATACAGTTTTCTAAATACCAAGACATTTATGCATATTCGCTGTCTTGAGTTATTTATGAAGTAATATAAAGGGATAAAAATGTAATAGATTTAATAAATAAATAAAAATAAAACCTTTCTTCTAGGACAGCGGTGTCAAACTGGATTTCTTTGAGGGCCGGATCATCATTGTAGTTGTCCTCCGTGGGCTGGCTGTGGGGGAGATGGGGCGTACTCCTCCTGCAGCACCCTGCTGGCCAAACCAGAGTGTGTGGGGAGGGGTCCAAGCCAAAAACAGGTCCCCCGCACACCCTGTTTTGTCTGCCAGAGGCACTGCAGGTCAGTCCTTTGCTATTTCCAGGCTGGCCCCACTGGCCTTGTCCCCTATGGGTCAAATCCGGCCCACGGGCCTTGAGTTTGACACCCCTGTTCTAGGGCGTCCTGTTTTTTTTTTTAATGTGTGAAAAAAGTAAGAGCTTGGTCAACTGCTCTCCTCTCCCTCTTTCCTGCACATAGAACCAAACTCTATACCTGACGGAGCACCGGCAAATATGGCTGTCACCATAGTGGATGATAATGGGAAAGATGTTTAAGGGCAGGGAAGATCTATTCAGAATTACTGTAGACCAATCCAAGTCGTTTGACAGGATAGATTAAGAAGTGTCCTGTCCTTTTGCACTTTCTCAGGAACCATCTGGTTAATAAATGCATGTTAACAAAGTGGAATTTCGCCAAGCTCATCTCAGATGGAATTGTTTTCACTGGAACTGGTGTAAAAAAACTCTGGCAAAGGGAAAAGTTCTGAGCACAGATCTCTTCAATGGCCTCTTTCTGGTCAAAGACCGAAATAGACTGACTTTGAATCTATATAATGCCTGTACCTCCCTATTATAAGAAGTGGCAATCCTGACTTCCTGTAAGCACCATGGTGAGCTGATGCCTTGCTGGCTTTCACTGACTAGACCGGGCAGTTATGAGTGCAGTTTTTGTATTTTTCTGTTGGTATTTTTTGTAGTTTGTATTCACTTTTATTCTGTTCATTTATAATTCTTAATAAAATTATTTTGAAAAAAAAGAGAAGTAGTCCTATTTCTCCTAAAACATTTCCCTTTTTATTTTCCTCAGGGAGACAGGAAGCCTGGGTAAATTGTCAATGTCTTTGAAAGAAAATGTTTTAGGCAGTCCTAAAGAATTATTGAAATTAAGTGTTCCTTCAGTTGTGTATGCAGTTCAGAATAATATGGCCTTCCTGGCTCTCAGCAACTTGGATGCAGCAGTTTATCAGGTAACTTGATGTTCGAAAGTTGAATCCTTTGCCACGACAGCTAGAAGCAGGTTTTACACATATGTGGTTGTTCCAAAGGTGCTTTTTTCCAAAACGCAATAGGCCATTGTTTTTTACTGGCGATGTTTTGGTTCTCATCCAAGAAGTGAAAAAATACAGTCCTGAAACTGAAGAAGCTTCTTGGATGAGAAGGGAAACATCTTCAAAGAAAAGCAAAGTCCAGTTGCCTTTTGGAAAAGCACCTTTGGGACAACCATGACCTGGATGAGTGAGAATCTTGTAGACACACGTGTGTGTTCTTCAGTGAATGATTGCAATGTCTAGGGACCTCTGGCACACAAGGAAGAGGAATAGCAGTGCTACCGGGGGAAGGGTGGCATTGTAACTCAATTATTTTCCAGTAGAAATAGTTAACCTTTTAGCTGTATGCTTCTGAAGGAAAAGGCAAGAAAGAAAGATCATAGAAATCTTCCATAAGTGAAGTGCTTTAGGTCCTCCATAATTCTTGTGTGAATTTTTGTTGATGTAGGAAGAGGAGTCGGTAACTCAGTAGGTTGTCTTAACAGTGTCATTACTGAAAAATGACAGGGAAAATGCAAAATGTTGGAACATGGGGAAGCGAATGATTATTTTTGCTACCTGGCATTTAATGCCATATTCAAAATTAAAGACGACCAGGATGTGCAATTTTGATTGGCGACAACTATATTCGGCATATAAGTAGAACTCTGCAAATCACACTTCATAGAAGGGACACTGTAACAGTAACAGTTGATATAATTGGTCACTTGCAGCTCATCAAAACAAAAATTACATTTAACTATATGCTATTAATATTAGTCTCCGTATCATTTGAATGACATAACAATCACTTTTTCCTTATTTGTCTCTACATTAAAATGATTTTTGGCCCTATAGTTGGGATTATGCATCTCTGAAATAAAACATGTTTTAAACCCAATGGTTTAGGTGACATACCAGCTAAAAATCCCCTGCACAGCCTTATGTACTGTCCTGATGCTGAACCGTAGTCTTAGTCGATTGCAGTGGTTCTCAGTGTGTATGCTGTGTGGTGGAGTCACACTTGTGCAGTGGAAACCAGCTCAGGCTACTAAAGTTCAGGTAAGCATTCTCCTTGGGAGCTTTAATTTTCATTTTTTCTTATAGAAAAAAAAATGGCGACTTGTACCAGGAAACGGTAGGTTTTTAGGGAACAAAGAAACGGAAACCTGTGTTCCATAGTTGAATGTTTAACAGAAGTGCACATGTATCGAATTTTAGTTTTTGCTTTGTTTTAATATTTAAACATGGGTACGTTTTTTGGGGAGTACTCCTAGGACAAGAGCACTCTACCTTTTCTCAGTAGAGGGGCCAGCTATTTCTTGGCACAATTTTTATGGGGGTTGAAATGAGGAAGGGGTGATTTCAGAACTTCCAGGAAATTCCTATATTACTCTCTAGCGTTTTTGTTTTCTTTCTGACCTCCCTCTTTTTGCCTCCACTGTATCCTCCTTTCTGGGTCTCTTTTGCAAGAAAGAGATAAGTGTGAATTAATGGCAAAAGCTTCTGAGTTTAGCTTAAGAGTCTGATGAAATAAATTAATCTCAATGCACCCAAAGGTTTCCTATTCCTGTTTGGGATCATAATAAGCTACTTTACGTGTTACATAAATGCAGAGATCTGGTAGGAAAAAAAAAAATCCCAATCTTGGGCATATCATTGAATTTAATGGGACTTGAGTTTGATCTACGAAAAATGCCTGCACTTCTACTCTGTGTCCAAAATAGCCAATATTTTCATCCAGAACCAGCGATACAGATTTGTTCTCTATTGCTACTTTATCAGAATTTATTTAATCCATCAAAAACACTGGCTGTGTTCTTTGGAACATAGATTATAGATAAATAAAGTGCTACTTATTTGTCTAATGGTAATGCAAATGACAATAGCCAAAGGACCTAAAGAACGTTACAAAAATAGAAATAAGGGATCTGTGTGCAGTTATTGGGGCAATTCCCTCCTTTAGTCCAGAAGGTTTTGGCACCTGACTTTATTTTCTTGAGATTATATATTTGCATTATATTCAAACGTTGCAGTTCAACTTATAGGCAAACGGTACAGGGTTGCTCAAACCTATTCTGGCTTAATAAATCGGTGTCCTAAGTTTTGAGAAGTAGTTGTTGCCAATAGAGAAGAAATAAATTGATTTTCTTCTTTATTATATCTTTAGATGGAACAGAATCCACTGCTAGGATTTGGAGCGATAGCAATTGCTGTTCTATGTTCAGGATTTGCAGGTAATAATTAAACCACAAAACATTAAGCATGGTATTAGCTTATCTGATAACTCTTGTTCCCTATTTTGTACTAATGCTGTTGTTGAACGCTCATTGGGATTTGAATTTCCATAGCTCAGCAAAGAGGTTTTAATATGCAATGTCACATAATTGCACTGCTGAGCGATGACAATCCTGGCAATTGCTGTTGTTAAGTTAGGATCATGGGTCATTAAGCGAGGACTTCACATGACTGGGACTTGCGACTTCTTCTTGCCCGTTTCAATATGCAAAGTCAGTGGAGAAGGCAGTAGAGAAGGTCTCCCACTCCTGATGCTTTTTCCCCTAAGGAGCCATCCATGCACCCCACTGCACTCTCACCCTGTTGCAGTGCTTCCACCTGCACTACGGGACAGCGCCCAGACATATTTTCAGTTGTACTCACGCATGGCAGTGCCTACCCGTACACTCTGCTATATTCACTTCCTACGGTGGCGACCGCCCATGTGCTTTCTATTTGTGGCATGTGGCAGGGCTCAGGGGTCCCTGTCCGACTGCACACGTGTCACATGGCAGCGACCACCTGTATATCCTGCTGCACTTGCGCCGCCTGTCCCAGCCTACCTGTGCTCCCGTAGCTCCGACCTGCCTACCTGCAGGGATTTGCAACTTCCTTCCAGCTTCCCCGTCGACTTTGCTTTTTTGGAAATTGTGGTCATGTGACCACAGGGCGCTGTAGATGTTCATAAATATGAGCCAGCTGTCAAGCACATGAAATATGGTCACGTGGTTATGGGACGGGATCCAGCAGATGTAATTTTGAGGCCAGGTCGTAACTTTTTGGGAATTTTGTGTAATTTTGAATGGTGGTTAACCTGCCTTTACTGATTTTTCCTCAAATCTATGCATGTTGTTTACAAAATTTGAAGAAATGCAAAGCCTAGGAAGTTTATCTTGCAATTTGTTAGATTCGGATGTGAGTACCATTAAAGTAATAAATCTCCAGAACAGTAAAGCCTACAAACCTGAAATTTGGCATGTATGTTCCTCTTGGCTTCTAGGGGCTCACTAACAAAGGATTTTTCAAAATGACCATCAGAGCATTAGTATTTCCTATATTATCATTAACACGCTCTGATGCTAAGGAATTCTACTCCCCCCACCCCACCTGAAAAGAAATCTGTTCCAAATGCAAAACACAAGCAGAGGAGAGGAGTTTCACTTTCAGTTTTAGTTTCACTGTACCAAGCAGTTTTAGTATAGAACAGTTGAGCTAAGCCACACCTAGGCTCCTTGCTGTCTCCTTGCTCACACAGCAAATATTGTTTCAGTTTCCAAACCGCCCTCAACTCTCTCTCACACTGACAGGACATTAGCATACGGAATACTGATGGATGCTGGTAGGCAGAGTCCGAATTTTTTCCCCTTATTTTCCTCCCCCAAAACTAAGCCCACATAGTTTTGTAGCGAAATATTTGATATTTTTCTGTACTGTTCATTGTGGAAGTTATGATTCAACTAGGCTCCTTAATTTAGCTGTCAGAAAATTAATGCTTTCAGAAAAAGCTGTGGACGCCTGCCTTTAGCATTCAGCCATAAAAGTCTGGTTCATCTTTAAAATAATTGACGAGCTTCTTTTCTTTTGATCTCTTGATATTTTCTTTTCAGGAGTGTATTTTGAGAAAGTACTAAAAAGCTCTGATACATCTTTATGGGTGAGGAACATTCAGATGTATCTCTCTGGAATTGCAGTGACATTGCTTGGGGTCTACACAGCCGAAGGAACTCAAGTAATAGAGAAAGGATTTTTTTATGGCTATACGCCTTATGTCTGGTTTGTCATCTGTAAGTACTGGGCCTGGCCTTAATTTGTAATCGTTACAACCTGTTAACAGTTTGTGATGTTTTTGGCAGTAATGCTAGAAGTACTGTTTCAAATACGGGGATGTGTTGAAAAAGTAGTAATTATTAACGTGATCCAAAAGATGATCTCAATCTAATTGACTAAGAAGCAGTTTTAAATTGAATAAAACATCACAATTCCTTTCTGTTTCAGCACTATGGTCCATAGAAGCAGGTCCATTTTATTCCAGAACATTGCAAAAATCGTAATGAGGCTTGCCCCAAGCCCCTTTAATCCAATTATCTATAGCAGTGATTCTTAACCTGTGGTCTATGGGCCCCGGGGGGGGGCACGATGTTGTCACAGGGGGTCTTGAAGAAACTTAAGATTTAAATCTTAAGTTTGGGGCATGGTTCATGGCCACAAAAATATTGAAAGGGGGTCCATAGTAAATAGAAGATTGAAAACCACTGATCTATGGAATATAAGAAATCTAATGAATGCTAGTTCCACTAGTAAAATATAGAAGTCAGCTGCTGAGGTGTATTTGTAAATTATAGAGTGGACGTTGGTAACCAGGCACCTTTTAGATTTTAACTTCCATCTGCCTCAGCCAAAATACCAAGTGGTGAGAAAATGGGAGAGAAA